TGCTTGGTTGTTAATAAAGATTTATTGGAACAGAGCCATGCTCATTCATCATGGCGTTTCCTATGGGGTCTTTGGCCCTGTGATCGATGATCTAAGCAATTACACAGAGGCCAGTAGGATTGCCAAGCCTCAATGTCCTGGAAAGCCCTCAGTGGGGACTTCGAGGACCTGGACTACTCCTCTTTCTCACTGCTTCCAGAGTGGCCAGATGGGAGGCTTCCCCAGCATGTGATGCCCTTGCCAGAAGCCCAAAGCGTGGGGTCACTGGATCTTGTACTGGAACATCTAGAACTTTTCTCTAAGCGAACCACCTCAGGTATTCCCCAATAGTGATGCACAGCTGGCCAACACGCCACCTAGGAAGGAGCATAACATTGAATCAAACAACGTGATTATTGTCCTTGGTGTCAGCTTCCTTTAGTCTTTTTCTCACTATGAAACCAGCCACCTGGGCTGGGAAGGTGGCTCAGTGGTAGAGTGCTTGCCTTGCATGCCTGAGGCCCTGGGTTCGATTCCTCAGCACCACATAAGCAAAAAGAAAAAAGCCGGAAGTGGTGCTGTGGCTCAAGTGGTAGAGTGCTAGCCTTGAGCTGAAGAGCTGAGGGACAGTAAACAAAAACAAAAACCAGCCACCTCAGCTCTGCTCATGGAAGGGAGTGCTGCCTGATCATCAAGCCAACAGATACCTTGAAACGCAACTGCTGTAATTGTGTCCTTTGACCCACTATGTGCACATAGCTGTCTACTCAAAACTCACTGCCTCAAAGAAGGCTTCCCTGACCACCCTGTCAAAAAAATTTCCTCTTCCCTCTACAATTTCTCAATCCATTTATCCTCCTATAATTTTCTTCACAATACTCAACCCTTGGAATCCAAGTAGTGTTCTCAGAACCCAGAAGAGTGAGGCTCTTGATTACTCTCATGTCCCCACCCTATTCTGATGCTGAATCTCTCCCCACCGTGGGGAAAGGCCTTGGGAGGTGATTACGAGTGGATGGAGCCAGATCAGGCAGGGGAGCCCTTGTGATGAAATTATGAAAAGATCATCTCATTTTATGATAAGGAACCCAGATTTCCTCTCTATACCACAAAAGGACACCACGAAAGATTGCTGGGATAGGAAGAGGGTCCCCCAACCCTTGAATCTACAGGCACTTTGAACTTGCTTTCCCAACCTCCAGAACTATGAGAATAGACATCTGTTGGTTAGGCCATCCAGCCTAGTATCAAGTCCTGAGCAGACTAAGACAGTTACTATTATTGAACAGATGGAATTTTCCATTGCAGTGCCAGATACAAAAGAATCATTGGGGAAGTGGTACTGTGGCTCAAGTGGTAGAGCGCTAGCCTTGAGCTGAAGAGCTGAGGGACAGTGCCTAGGCCCAGAGTTCAAGCCCCAAGACCGACAAAAAAAAAAAAGAACCATTGGAAGACGAACACCAGTGGCTCACGCTGGTAATCCTAGCTACTCAAGAGGCTGAGATTTAAGGACTGAGGTTCAGAGCCAGCTTGGATAGAAAACTCCATTTAACCAGCAAAAGTCAAAACTGGAGGCTCAAGTGGTCGAGTACCAGCCATGAGCTAAAAAGCTGAGAGATGGAGAGTTCAAGCCTTAATCCTGTCACAATAATTTAAAAAAAAATCACTGTATTTAGGGCCTCTAGCAAGTTCAAGTGTGAAAAGGGGGGAGAAGGGTACAGAGGAAGGTCACACACTGCAGTCCTGAAAGACCACCAATAGCTCCATTGCTGGTGCGGTCCTGGCTTGCTATGAAGCACACACGAGGGCCAGCTGGGGGGATGCCAAAGAGAAACCATTCTTGTAAGCCCGGACCACAGAGCCCTGGGCTGAAAGTGCTGCTATTCCTCATGGTTGCCTGGACTCACATCTGCCAGGACCTCAGTGCAGCGCTGGGTCAGCTCTCACTGACCAGGCAAGGCAGGCACTTCCAGAAGGGATAAACCAAAGCTGGTGGCAGGATGCCAGGATGCACATACCAGCCTGTCACATACAAAGACTGTTCTATGCTCTGTGACATTTCAAAGAGGCTGGTTTATGAGCTTGTTTGGTGCTTTAAGGCAGGGCCTGAGTGGGGGATTATTGGCAGCAGCATCAGGAAGGAAGATCTCAACAGGACAACGTGGGCCCTAAGCCCGAGGCACTGTCTCCACTCTCTTTCCTGAGGAATCTTAATGAAATCAAAGCAGTTTGGAGACCCACAAGTGGGTATCAGAATTCTTAAGGATTTCCCAAAACAGGTGTCATAGGCCACTCCTGGATTTCTGATTCAGTAGATCTGAGTTAGAAGACACACATTGTGTTTCTAGCAAGGAGATGCTAAGGCCAAGCATCTGTGTCCATACTTGAGAGTCCCTGGCCTAGAGAGATGTTCACTGGGGAGGAGCTACTTCTGCCATCATGTTCTTGACCTCTGCCCACTGCAAATGACCCTGGAATCTAATTCAGCTGTAAGCCAAGGGATTATAAAATAATAAAATATTTTTTTTAAAGCTCATCTTTAAGCCGGGCACCAGCAGCTCACACCCGTGATCCTAGCTACTCAGAAGGCTGAGATCTGAGGATCACAGTTTGAAGCCAGGCTGAAATTGAGAGGATTGCTGTTTGAGGCCAGTTTAGGCAAAAAATTAGAGAGATCCCATTTCACACCTGTGCCATCACAGCTCTGTGGGAGACCCTACAATAGGAGGATCAAATTTGAAGCCAGCCCTGGGCAAAAATGCATGACCCTACCTAGAAAAACCTCAAGTGGTAGAGAGCCTTCCCAGCAAGCACAAGCCCTGAGTTCAAATCTCAATATTGCCATAAATAAACCAAAACCAAAACTTCACAATCCCAGGTCAGATTGAATATATTCCATTACTGACACAGCCCAGGCTCCAACAAGCATGGTGGGTGCTGACTGCTACCCTATGCCAAGCATAAACATCAAATGCCAGCTCTTTTACAACAATTGTGAGAGATGGGTACCACTGAGCCACATTACAAAATGGGTAAACTGAGGCTGAGAAGGGGGATGCCAGAGAGCCACAGCAGGATTCCAACTCAGGGGTGTCTGACTCCAGAGCTTTCACCCTAAATACCACTGCACATCCCAGTATGAAAGACAGACACAAGAACCCCTGGGCCAGAAAATGCGGCGGCCTGTCAGGCTTGGTGCTGCCTACCATCTTCTACCCTGGATGCTTCTTCCTCCTGCCTCTCCAAGGTCAGCTCCTTACTTGGCCAGTCAGGCCTCAGTCAAGCCACCATGGTTGAGTGCTTGCCCAGGGGCTGGAAGGTGTTATGTATCTGTAGGGGAGGATCAAGGGTACATAGATCCAAGATCTAGCCTTCACCTTCTGCAGTGCAAAGTCCAGGGGTCAGGGAGAGGTGGTGGGGGTGGTACGGAGATGGAACTGATGTTAGCACATAGTAAGTGTCCAGCAAGGGTTGGTGGAGGTGCCAGGGGCTTTCTACACGCTGGGAGGGGGGAGAGGGGATGGTAGGGAGCTTTGTAAAACATTACATGATTCTACCTTCAAGCCTCTGCCACATCCAGGCAGTAAGGCTATTTGCAGTGCTGGTTAATGATCAACACTCATCAGGTCAACAAGCTGGGGCTGAGTTTCAGTGGGACACTCAGATCCTTTGCCCCTCACAAAGCAGCAGACTTTAGCGTCGGAACTGTGAGTCACAATGGCAACTCTGTGACTTGGGGCACTTTTTATCTTGCTGAGCCTCAGTTTCCATCTTTGCCTGCAAGGCTGTTAAGGTTAAATGGATATCATTGATCTTTCTATCACAACTTTAGCACTAAATCAATGTCACTTCTCCAAGATGTTTGCAAAACAGGTGATGTGTGAAACCTCCCTAAGTTCCAGAGACAAGGCACTGGGACCTGTCGTGACAGCTTCACCAGCCGTTGCCTGTGGTCCTGAGTGGGAATGCCCCTGAACCTTGAAAAGATGAGTTTGAACTTTTGTTCAGGTGACTTTTGTTTATTTACTTATTTCTGTGAACCCTGGGACCTGGTCCCTGAAAGGCAAGCATATTATCACTGAGCTGCAGGCCCTGCCTGGGTGGGCGTGTCTCCAAAACCAACTAGCTGAAGAAAAGGTGTGCAGAAGCAGATCCACACAGACATATTGCTGATCACCCAGGTTCTGCCTGGCTGCTCTCCTCTAAGATGGTCCGCCAGGCCTGCACAGCTCTGCCCTTCCCCCCTGCTCCCCATCTATGCCCAGCACCCTCGGTGCAGGAAGAGGTGGTGACTGTGGTGGCATGTGTCTGTAATCCCAGATACTTGGAAAGTGGAGACCAGAAGATCATTAGTTCTAGGGTTTAAAGTGATCAAATGATCTCAAAGAACACAATGAAAACAAAAGGAGGCCTGGGAAGAGGTGTAAGGTGGAGGCCACAGAGCTTTGTAGACGCCAATCTTGTGCTTCCTGTGCAAGTCTCTGGGCCTGTTTCTTCATCTAAAAGACAAGCATACTGCCGGTACCGGATGTCTCACGCCTGTAATCCTAGCTATTCAGGAGGCTGAAATATGAGGATCACAGTTCGAAGCCAGTCTAGGCAGCAAAGTCCATGAGACTCTTACCTCCAACTAACCACCAGAAAACCACAAGTGGCTCAAAGTGGTAGAGCACTAGCCTTTAGGAAAAGACATCAGGGACAGCACCTGGGTTCAAAAGACCTCAGGTTCAAGCTCCTCAAGGCACGATCTTAGGTGTGGGGGGGGGGGAGGGGGGGGGGGGGGGGAGGGGATCACAGGTGAGGACTGTCAGCTATCACAGGAGGCTGCTTTAATCCAAGTCCAGCCAGCCAGCCGGGGCTGCTCACGATCTGTATTGTTCTCCCCTTGTTACCTCCCTTGTAAACTTTCTTCCCCAGCCAGCTGCCAAGGCTGTCCCCACAGCCCTAGGACAGGAGGCTGGGAGGGGCCAGGAGGCCTGCGGGTGTCCCCCTCCACCAGGTGGGGACCAGGGCGCACTTACCAGAGAAGACCCTCCCATCGCGGGTGAGCAGAGCGGCCCCCACAGGGAAGTGGCTGTAGGGACAGTAGGCTGACTTCTTGGCCTCGCGGGAGGACAGCAGAAGCCGCTGGACGTGCTCGGGCTCCAGGGCCATGTCGGTCCAGGGGACGGATGAGCAGAAGCGGGAGCTGCTGGCCTGAGCTGGCCCCGAGGAGGTGGCTCCGCCCCCGGGGTGTGTCCCTGTGCCTGACCCGGGACCTGGGCTGGGACAACACTGGGCTGGACCTGGGAGGGGAGGGTGTGGCTGTCAAGATTGCGCAGCAGGCTCCCCACCCTGCGTGGCTGGGTGCCCTCTCCTGGAGTGAGGAGAGAGGGTCTGGGTCAGTGGAACTGAGTCCACGGGGTGGGTGCCACCTTGCAGGGGGTGGGAGAGGGGGGAGTTGTGGGCACACTTCCTAGGGAGGTGGAGGCTGTGGGCTAAATCTGTGTGAGATCTCAGAGGTCCAGACTCAAAGGGATTTCAGGATAATGGATGACTTTATTTTATTATTATTATTTTTTATTTTGTCGGTTGCAGGGCTTGATCTCTGGGCTTGGGCGCTGTCCTTGTGCTCTTCAGCTCAAGGCGAGCGCTCTACCACTGGATCCACAGCGCCACTTCCGGTTTTCTAGTGGTTTATTGGAGATAAGAGTCTCACGGACTTTTCTGCCCAGGTTGGCTTTGAACTGCTCTCCTCAGATCTCAGCCTCCTCAGTAGCTAGGATTACAGGCGTGAGCCACTGGCGCCCAGCTAATGGATGACTTTTTTATTTTTTATTTTGGGTTGAAAGGGCCTGATGTGGGCAACCATTATGGCTTCCCAAGTCAGAAGTTATCAAAATCAGTCATAACGTCATGAAGTGTCTTTCAGTGGTTTATATTTAATTTCTCTCTGCCCCCTACCCAGAATGTACAAGTATTTCAGTTGGAGGTGACCCTTCAAGATCTTCCACTCTTCCACTCTGGTTTACATCCTGCTCTTTACCACTTTTTTTTTTTCTTTTTGGTCAGCCGTGGGGCTTGAACTCTGGGCTTTGGGCGCTGTCCCTGCCCTCTTTAGCTCAAGGCAAGTGCTCTACTGCTTGAGCCACAGCGCCACTTCCGGTTTTTGAGTGGTTCATTGGAGATAAGAGTTCCACAGACTTGGGGGCTGGGGAGGTGGCTCAGTGGTAGAGCGCTTGCCTTGCATGCCTGAGGCTCTGGGTTCGATTCCTCAGCACCACATAAGCAAAAAGAAAAAAAGCCGGAAGTGGCGCTGTGGCTCAAGGGGTAGAGTGCTAGTCTTGAGCTGAAGAGCTGAGGGACAGCACCCAGGCCCAGAGTTCAGGCCCCATGACCGGACCACCCCCAAAAAAAAAGAAAAAGAAAAAAAAAGAGTTTCACGGACTTTTGAGTCCGAGCTGGCTTTCAACCTCGGTCCTCAGATCTCAGCCTCCTGAGTAGCTAGGATTACAGGCATGAGCCACCAGCGCCAGGCTTCTTTACCACTTTCTCCATCAATAAACTTGGGCAGTTCCCTTGACATTCCTGAACCTCAATTTCCTAATCTACAACAAAGACAGTGACAATCTCTGTTCTCCATCCCGAGACTACAGAAGGGCAAGAATCTCAGTTTCCTTAGCTCTGGCTTGAATTCGAATTCAAACCTCAGAGGTTTGTGCATACTTGGCAAGCACTCTAGCTAGCCTCAAGCTACATCTGGAGCCTATGTCTGAACCTCAGTTTGCTTGGCTGTGGAAATGGAGGCAGACAACATCGCAGGTTGTGGTGGGAAGGACCCAATGACAATTGCTTGTGCATCCATTTTACAGACAGAGTCCCCAGCAGGGAGGTAGGCATGACTTTTCGGGGGGCTCCGCTGGGGCTGAGAAAGGGAACAGGGAGAAACAGAGGGGACAGGATGGGTGGATAAAGCCACACTGTGTCTTGCATGCTGATATCTCTGTGCTTTACGGCCCAGCATTTCTGGGTCCTGGATCACAAGCTCCCAGCCACAGGCAAACAGCTGCGAGATCACTGTGGAGTTAGGCAAGACTTGCTTCATTTCCTCCTCCCTTCCTTCTCCAAGTCATCCTTTCCCACTTCCTGATGTCCATCCCTCACAAAGTGAGGTACTTTGCTCCCTCTTTAGTTGCAAATACCTCTTAGATGGTGTGTGAGCGTGTGTGTGTATGTGTGTGTGTGTGTGTGTGTGTGTGTGTATAGTATTGGGTATTGAGATGCAGAGCTTTGAACTTGTCTAGCAAGTGCTCTCTACCACTTGAGCCACACCCTCAGTCCTTGTTCATTTTTCAGGCCCAGAGTTGGCCCTGAACCAAGATTCTCCTACCTCCACTTCCCAAGTAGAAGGGGTTACAAGTGTATGCTACCATATCCAGTGTAACATCAACAGCATTCTAAACATGTCGTTATTTCCACTTTACAAAGAAGAAAAGGAATACCTGCTGGGTGTTGGTGGCTCACATATTTAATCCTAGGAACTGGGAAAATTGAGAACTAGAACCTAGGATCTAAACATGGTGGTACAAAGACATCCCAGGCAGGAAAGTCCATGTGACTCTTATTTCCATTAAGCATATACATGGGGGGGGGG